GGAGATCTTAAAGATTTCTGTGAGAGCACCTGCCAGCTGGTCTGCACATTCTCTGTACTCTGCCTGGAATGTTGCCTAGTGCAGCAGCTTTCCGTGGGTTGACTCTGTGTAGAGTTTTCCTCACATTCGCTGTGATCAGACAAAGTGCCTGGTCATCAACAGGACCTCGCCACCATGTTGTTCTGCACCTCGAACCAAGCGTAGAAGTTGTTCAGCGCATCTGGAAGGGAGGCATCACTGTCACAGACAGGTGATGTAGTCTTGTAGTTGGTGATGGCCTGGATGCCCTGCCACATGCGCCATGTGTCACTGCTGATCTGGAAGTGGCTGTGAATGTTCTGGCCGTGTGTGCGCTTTGCTTCTCGGATTTCTTGGGACATCTTGGCCCTTGCTGTTCTCAGAGCCGACTGGTCACCTGCTTTGAAAGCAGAGTCTCGAGCCCCCAGCCATGCAGGCACTTTGGAGTCATCCATGGCTTCTGGTTGAATCTAGTAATGATAGTTCTAGTGGTGGTGACATCATCAATGCATTTGCTGATGTAGCAGGTCACTGAAGTTGTGTACTCCTCTAAATCGGTGACATCGCCATATGTTGCAGTCTCCCTAAACATGTCCCAGTCAGTGTATTCAAAACAGTCCTGAAGAGCAGAGATAGATCCTTCTGGCCAGGTTTTCACCTGGTTCATTTCAGGTTTGGTGCACCTGACGAGCACTCTGTAAGCTGGAATCAGCATTATAGAGATGTCGTCTGAGTATCCGACGTGGGGGCAGGGCTCCGCACGGTACGCACCGGAAATATTTGTGTAAACATTATCCAGTGTGTTCTCTCCTCTCATAGCGAAGTTCACGTTTGTAGAATTTAGGGAGAACAGACTTGAAATTTGTATAATTAAAATCCCCAGCGAGCATAAAAGCTATTAAACAAAAAAGTCGTAACATCGTTTTACTAAATGAGCTGAACCTTTTATTAAAGAAGAGATTAAAACAGCACAAAATATGTGAGGAAGTCATAGTTTGATTGCAACACACAGAAAGTAACAAAACAGGGAAACATTAGTGTGAATGGTTAATCACACCATGTCTGAAAGCATGAAAATAAATGATTTGAAGATAATGTCAGTCCAACAATTTCCAAGGAAATCATTGATAGATTTACTCTGAGAATATTTTTAGTTGCATTAGGATGAAAGCAATGGATTTACTAGAGCCTGTTAATGGAAGCATGCTAGAAACCTCAGCTTCCTGCCACATTGAATAGAAGTGAAGAGTTAACTTGTGTTACTAATAGAGGTTTTGTGGTTTCTCCATTTTATGTTCTCCACAAACTTCATAAGTGCTCTTCTCTCCTCAAATTGGCTTAAATTCACCAGACAAACTGTATGAGACGAGTGTAAACAAACTGATTAAGGATTATCACATGATGACTTACTTAACATGGTCTTGTCTCGATCCCACTATGTTGGGGAATTTTAGGCCCATCTCAAAGCTACCGCTACTGTCAAAAATCTTAAGAGAAAATTGTTTATTCACAGTTAAAAACCTTCTTGGATGAACATAACATCATGGATGTGTTCCAGTCTGGATTTAAAACTCTCCATAGCACAGAGTCAGCTTTGCTGAGAGTTTTTAATGACGTCCTCCTGGCATGTGACTCAGGTGATCATGTGATCCTTGCGTTACTGGACTTAACTGCTGCTTTTGACACAGTGGACCAGCATTTTATTGTCACATCTACAGCACCAAGTAGGCATTGGTGGAACTGCTCTGGAGTGGTTGGGGTCCTATCTGACAAAACATTTTCTGTAACAATTGTCCTTTTCTGCTCCTTTGTCATGTGGGGTTCCTCGGGGATCAATTTTAGGGCCCTTGCTTTTTTCTTTATATCTGCTTCCTCTAGGATCGATTCTTAGAAAACATGGCATTTCCTTTCACTGCTATGCTGATGATTGCCAAATCTATGTGCCTTGGAGGCGAATTGATGCCTGGTCTATTAAACCTCTTTTATCGTGTCTCAAGGATCTTAAAGCTTGGATGACATTAAACTTCCTGCATTTTAATGAAAAAAAGACAGAGGTGCTTGTTTTTGGACCTAGTGGAACTTGTTTGAGCCCTCCAGCTGACTTAGACCCCCTGACAATGTACGTAAAGTCCACAGTTACAAACCTTGGTTTTAAGATGGACAGTGATTTTAAACTTGAGAGTCAAATAAGGGCCACAGTCAAATCTGGTTTTTATCATTTAAGAAAAACAGCAAAGGTAAAATATATTCTTTCAAGGCAACAGTTTGAAACAGTAATCCATGCTTTCATTTCATCACTGCTGGCTTACTGTAATTCTCTCTATCTCTGAGTCAGCCAGTCCTCACTTACACATCTGCAGCTGGTGCAAAATGCTGCTGCATGTCTTTTAACAGGAACACATAAAAGAGCACATTATCGCTGTCCTGGCTTCTCTCCACTGGCTGCCCGTGTATTCAGGTCTCTCTTGTAAATGAGTCCCCGAGGCTCAATGGATTAACCTGTCTAAATAAAGGTTGAATGAATTTTAGAGTTCATTTTAAAATTATTTTGTTTGTTTTGAAGGTTTTAAACAGCCTTGCCCCACCTTATTTGACAGAGCTTCTCCACCATTACACTCCACCTCGATCACTCAGGTCCTCTGACCAGTTGCTTCTGATCATTCCCAAGAGTCAGAGAAAGTTTAGAGGAGACAGGACCTTCTGTGTTAGTGCCCCGAAGTTATGTAATGCTCTGCCTTTGCACGTTCGACAGGCCCCTTCACTGTCCATTTTTAAAACCCGTCTGAAAACTCATTTCTACTCATTGGCCTTCAACCCAAATGAGACTTATTTTTACTTCCTTTTTATTGGTATTGGTTTTATATGTTTAAGTCGTCGTTTTATTGTGTTTTAAATTGAGTTTTAAATTGAGTTTTAAATTGAGTTTTTATTTCATTGTGTGCTTGGCTTTGTAGCTTTGTTTTTATGCTTTGTTTTTTCTTGTTTTTAACTGATGTTCAGCACTTTGTTTCAGCTGTGGCTGTGTTAAAAAAACGCTTCATAAATAAAGTTGTTGATGAAAATGATGAACATAAATAGAGAAGACAAGATGAGGGAACATTCTCTTCCTTCAATATTTTGTAACCCTGCAAAAAATGTGAGCAAACCATCCATCCATCCATTATCTTTACCCGCTTATTCCATTTTGGATCACGGGGGTCGCTGGTGCCCATGTCCTGCAATCACTGTGCGAGGGGCGGGGTACACCCTGGATGGGTCGCAAGTCCATCACAGGGCCACATAGAGACAAACAACCATTCACTTTCTCATGCACACCTAGGGACAATTTAGTTACCAATCAGCCTAACATGCATGTTTTTGGTCTGTGAGAGGAAACCGCAGCACCCGGAGAAAACCCACGCATGCACGGAGAGAACATGCAAACTCCACCCAGAAAGGCCCCTGGACTGGGGTTTGAACCAAGGACCTGTTCACTGAGAGGCAGCAGCTCTACCAGTTGCGCCACCGTGCTGCCGTGAGCAAACCCATTTTCTAAATTATTTAAAGTTGCACTAATCTGAATGTCTGTTTAAATTTTAATATAATAGTCGTGCGTTTTGCACCCTAATGTTAAATATGTTGCATCATGTCATGGACAAAATACTTACTAATTTTGTTTGATGTTCAGGTGTGCAGGTGCAAGAAAAAATACATCAGACTTCCACAGTATAATTTATTTACAATTATGGCAAGAAAAACACACATTAGTCACTGAAATAGTAATAATAAGAAAGTGAGAATCAAATAATTAAAATGACCTTTTCGAATATGTCCATTGCTTTAGAATTTTAGTTCAAACATTATTATTTTTAAACCAGTTGTTTCAGTGACTTTTGTGTTTTTTACTTTCTTTAACAGAAGGTTACCAACAAATGTATCTGGGTTAATATAGATTACATATCATGTGGTATTGTAGAGGACCTGCCTCTACAAATGTCAGTTAAAACCAATGCTTATCTGAGATGAAGAATAAACCAATACATTTCTTTTTTTTTTCTCGACAGTGTCGAGTGCTTGACATTTATCTTGTTATTGAGTGTGAAATAAAAATAAAAAGACTGTCTAGAACTAAAAATATACATGTAAAAATAATATGGAAAAATACACAAGCATTTTATTACATGGTCTACCCTGACTTCCCTTAGCTCTGGCAGAAAATAAAATTGAACGCTGATCTTAAACAGATTCACTTTTAGTTTAAGTGGAATAAAGTGCGTCAGAGTTGCATCTTCCCTTCTTTTTGAGGTCACGTCTGTGATTATGTTCAGTCTTCTGAGCCTTTCCTAGTACTCCTCGGGGTATTCTAGTATTCTCCATCCTATTTTGAGTACTATAAACAGGAGGAGGAGCCTGTTTCCATATAAGGATATTGTTTAGTGACGTCACCGGGGCCAACGCCCCTGAGAAGCAGCCGTACACAAGTCGGAGCACGCGCTCCTTCAATCGCTGTGAGGAAGGTCCGTTAGAACATGGCGCGGACAGACAGAGCTGTCATTTCTCCTCGGGACAAAACAAACACGTCCAGCAATATGGCGTTTCTCTGAAAAGGGCCGCGTGCATCACCTATGACTGCCGAAGCGTTGTAGCCACGTTTATCTACATTTCATGTGTTGTTTTACTATTTCTGGAGTTCAGCGACGCCGAAGAAAAGAGGCGGCGAGGAGCGGAAGTTGACAGCTAACGTCACGGATACACAGCTGAAGTTTACCTGTTTTACCTCATACCTGACCACTGAAGCAGCGGGACGTCCTCTTGCTAACACACACTTCCGGGTAGGAGCTAGTCATCGGTCTTTTCTGAGCTGTTAGCGATGACTCAATAGTTCCTTCAACAGTTCCTTCGTTTTACTTAAACGACCCGACAGGAATAAATGTCCTTGTTACTTATTTGAGAAAGCGCGTGCGTCGTTGTTTTATTTGTAGTGAAATATTTACAAGAGAAACATGTCAGACAACCAGAGCTGGAACTCGTCCGGTTCTGAGGAAGATTTGGAGCCCAGAGAGGACTGCGGACATCCCAGTGGGTTCGCCCAGTTCAGCGGGGTCCTGAGCAAGGTAGGTCACATCCAACCAGTCTGTTTCTTTATTCAAGTGCCAGACTGCTGAGATTACATCCGGATTATCTGGAGTGTTTACAGGAACTTTTTACATCAGGATTTAATTATTCCCGTGGCAATCCAAAAAATGAATACATTTATAAACTAAGGTCTTGAAGAACAAAGTCCATGCTCAATAATCCAGGTACATAATCCAACATTTTTCAGTCAGGTCATCTGGACAGTTTCTTTTTTTTGTGCTGAAACGTTTTGCCTTCGATCCAGAAGGCTTCATCAGTCAAGGAAACACACAAAAAAACTGATTCTTCCCCCAACAGCTTACTCCAAAGTGGAACAAACCAGTTCTGCTTGTGATAAGATGGTCTCTTTGGAACGCCCCCTCCTCCATTGCCAGCCCTCTTCCTTGTTGACAGTCGTGTCAAACTGGTTGAAAACCACAAAGTCCATCTTATCACAAGCAGAACTGGTTTGTTCCACTTTGGAGTAAGCTGTTGGGGGAAGAATCAGTTTTGTTGTTTGTTTTCTTGCCTGATGAAGCCTTCTGGATCGAAGGTGAAACGTTTCTGCACAAAAAAAAAGAAACTGTCCAGATGACCTGACTGAAAAATGTTGGATAAGGTCTTAAAGGTATACTGGTCTCTTGAAAATGAGTCCTCAGCGCTCATGAGACTATAAATAAAGGTTTATAATACATAGACATAAGAAGGTTAATTCTCTGAGTTTAAACCAAAGTCCTCACCAGCAGGTCGGATCATCTTAGATGAGTTTACAAGTTTTTAACATTATAGCAGCTGGGCCATTGTTTACACAGTAACATAAACAACTTGTTGATTTATATTTGCCAACACTATTGAACACACAGTCGAGTGTGCTGACTTGTGCATGTACAGAAAGCCTGCTGGTCCATTTTAAAGCAGCCGATGTGTCCAGAGTTTAGTGTGGGTCTTTATATCTGCTGATGATTGCAGTTTGCTGATTAGCAACGGGCTTACAGACGGCCTGCTGTCCAACCCTGCCCCATGTCTGCTGGAATTACAACCTGAATTTAATGTGTCACTTTCCTGGAAGGACTGTACATCACACACCACCTGCCTCATGAGAGAGTTAGACTGAAATCCTCTCATGCTAAGACTGAGTTGTATCTGTTTTGGTCAGTCCTTATGAGATACATGAGATATTGTGCAGTAAGTTAGAGCTCTGAGAACATGCTGTAAATGACTCTGATACTATCACAACAAACTGTGTCAATATTATCGGCCCCGATTTCCTTAATTTTGGGAAATCAGAAATCGGCCGATACGTACATGAAAAACCGATTTTACAGATTTTTTTTTAGTTTTAACAACAATTGTCTGAACTTCATTCATATTTCAGAGCACAACCTCATGGCCAGTTAAAACAAGTTTTTATTGTTTCTAGGATATTGTTCATGGGTATGTCTTTCAATAAAATAAGATTGAAAAATTGAAGGTGCATTGTGACCTTATAACACCCGACAGTGTCGCTTATAAAACAAAATCAGAATCGGCAGGTCAAGCTTTTTAGAAATCGGTGATAGGCCAGAAAACTGCAATCGGTGCACCCCTAGTCAATCAATATATGTAATATTGACTGAGTTCTAGACATGTTTGTGTCGGCCAGTGTTTGGCTGTGGTGGTGTGTTTGCATAAAGCTGACTGCAAAGGTGGTTCGTAGATTCATTCAGATACATTCAATGATTATTTTCTGAAAGTTTGGTTAAAGTCTGTCCAAAAGTTTGTGAGATATTTGGCTAACAGACAGACACAGCTGATGGAAACAGTTAATGACAAAGTTTAAATTAAGCATCTTGCACCATGTGTAACACTTATGTGTTTGTGATGATGCTCAACTACTACCACATCACATTTCAGTTCAGTATCTGTACATGTGGCCGAGTTCTATTTATCTTTGTGTAAAATAAGATCGCTTAGTTGTTGTGGCCATTTTGCAAAAGGTTGATTCCAAAACTTTAATCAGTTGTAGATATACATCCACTGATTGTTTTCTAAGAGTTTTGTTAACGTTTATCTACTTGTTAATGAGATACTGTATTTTGCTAACATTATAGACACACACAGACAGTAGCGTTGTCAACTTTTGGTGATGGGTGATAATGACCTAAATTTATAGTTTTTAATCTAACATCTGATAATAATCTAGATAATGGTGTTGCACCAATTTCAATGCTTGTCAGCTGATTTTCAAAAGTGAATGTATGGATTGAGTAACTGAGATGGTTTGGACATGTCCAGAGGAGGGACAGTGGGTACACTGGTAGAAGGATGTTAGAAATGCAGCTGCCAGGAAAAAGACAAAGAGGAGATTATGGATGCAGTTAGAGAGGACATGGAGGGAGGACCGAGGGTGAAGAGGACAGAATAAGATGGAGGAGGATGACTCACTGTGGAGACCCCTGAAAAGGGAACAACTGACAGAAGAAGAAAAAGAAGTTGGACAAACAAGACCCAACTAGGCCTGTCACGATAACACATTTTGCTGTCTCAGAAATCCAACATTTTTCAGTCAGGTCATCTGGACAGTTTCTTTTTTTGTGCTGAAACTTTTCACCTTGGATCCAGAAGGCTTCATCAGTCAAGGAAACACACAACAAAACTGATTCTTCCCCCAACAGCTTACGCCAAAGTGGAACAAACCAGTTCTGCTTGTGATAAGATGGTCTCTGGAACGCCCCCTCCTCCATTGCCGGCCCTCTTCCTTGTTGACAGTCGTGTCAAACTGGTTGAAAACAACAAAGTCCACCTGTATACCTGGATTATTGAGCATGGACTTTGTTGTCTCAGAAATTATTGTGATAAATGATCATTTTGTTTGAAATTTGAATATAATTAGTAAGTATTATTAAACTGAAGAAGAAATGTTAGTTCTCAGCTTCTTTTTGCAGAGAAAAAAACTATTTACACAAAGGCACGGGTTTCAACCGTGAATTTTGGAGCTTTGACAAGACGGAGGTTTTTTCCCGAGGTCAGCTTGTTAGCTTAGCTTCTCAGCGTAGCTGCTTTTAATGATCCAAAAACACGATTTTTGACAGATTTTAAAGAGAAAAGAGAAAGGGATGGGTCAGTGAATAGCACCGGAGTTGAGTCTTTTGTCATCCAGTGTCTTCAGTAGAAAGAGAGGGAAACACAAATAAATGATAAAGCTGATAAATGAAAATGAGATCGATAATTTTCATTTATCATGCGAATAATTGATTTATTGTTTCTTGCGACAGGCCTATACCCAACATCTAGTTTTGTGGTGAACACCGTTAAGCCCGCTGATACACAACTTCAAAACCTGCTTTTGCTTCCTTGCTTGGGTTGAACATTGTTCTAGACGAGCTGATCACAGGTTTAACGCACTAAGCTGTGAGTGAGGTAATGTGGTATTAATCTGAGTACTCCAGATTGCTGCTGACCCAATAGCCAAGCATATTGTGAGATTAGACAAATCCACGTTCAGTAAACTCACCTGTTCATACACACTAAGCCCCATCAATGTTTCCTCTACCATTATTCAAGAAGGTCACCTGTCCTGCCAACAGAACCAAGCTTCCTGCCTCCCGACATTATCCCCTACTGCAAGTTCTGCTGATGTTTGACCCAAGGACTGCTCACCACAGGATCAGTGGCTTCAGCCTAGCATTGATAACGTACTGTAGCACTCTGCTCCACCCCTTTTTCTTCTTCTTTCAGCTTTTCCCTCTTCAGGGGATCTTCCCATCACACTTCCCTCACTTGTTAGAACATATCACTCCTATCTTTTATAAGCCTGACCTGCTGCGTATCTTTTCCTGATGAGAACAAACTGGATTATTTTGGCTCCAGTCAAATCTGTTGGGTTTTTGATAGTTGTGGAAGGGTACCAACAAATAAATCCACATCTGTACTATTTTTAGATGTATTCTTGGAACTGAATTAGTCTCACCAACATTTACCATTTAAAGGTTATATTTGGTTCTAAAATATTTAATTGTATAGATGTCTTTCATTTCTTTAATCGATTAGGGGAAACACTGAATCATCTTTGTAGTTAGTTTGCCATGGTGGGGTCTCATCCATGATTTTTGCTGATGGGGGGGACGGAGACATGTCTGAGTGCAGTTGTACTGAGCGGGGGCGGGGGGTGTTCAACATGAGGGAAGAGGCAATGTGAGCGCTGCCTTGGGTTTTTTAGCTAGAGAGCCTGTGTTTTGTGCCGCTACTTTAGTGATATATCAGTGCAGTGCGGGGGTGGGAGGGGCAAGTTCAGCTTGGTAGGTGGGGTGCTCAGTTCTTTTGACGGGGTGGGGCACCCCGCCTGTATAATGGTAAGGGAAACGCTCCAATATTTTTCCAATTTCCAAAACATTGTGTTTTCAGTGGACAAACTACATCCATGGCTGGCAGGATCGTTGGGTTGTGCTGAAAAACAACACTCTGAGTTACTACAAGTCTCAGGATGAGACTGAGTACGGCTGCCGGGGTTCCCTCTGCCTTAGCAAAGCGGTCATCACTGTAAGTATTATTTAAGTGTCTTTTTTTCATAAGTAGAACTAGAACGCTATCAATCAATCCATCACTCATCTGTTTGTTCTGGAGTCGGGTCGTGGGAGCAGCAGCTTGAACAGGGAGGTGCAGACATCTCTTTCCACAGCCACCTCTTCCAGCTCCTCTGGGAGGACTCCAAGATGTTTCCTGAGAAACACGGTGTCTCCAGTGTGTCCTCGGTCTTCCCTGGGGTCTCCTGTCAGATGGACATGGCTGGAACGCTTCCCCAAGGAGGTGTCATGGAGGCATCTTTACCGGATGCCTGCATCCACAATCTTGTCTTTGTGGACCCTGACCCAGTAATAATAATAATAATAATCATCATCATTTTATTTAAAAAGCGTCTTTCAGGACACCCAAGGACACTTTACAGTAAGAAACATATCAGAGAGATTGTGTAAAAACAAACAACAAGCACAGCGCAAAGATTAACAGGAATAAATTGAAATATAAAATACATAAAGAATACAAAATACATAAAGAATACAAAATACATACAGAATATAAAATACATAAAGAAAGTTATGACAGGCAGCTGAGTTCTGGACCAGTTGCAGCTTCTGGAGAGATTTGTTGGGGAGGCCATAAAGAAGGGAGTTGCAATAGTCAATTCGAGAAGTCACAAGCCTGTGCACAAGGATGGCTGTGGAGCGGAGTGTGAGAGAAGGACGGAGACGGTTAATATTTCGGAGATGGAAATAGGCAGACCGAGTGACATTGTTGATGTGTGAAGTGAAGGAGAGAGTGGTGTTGAGGATGACACCAAGACTCTTGACCTGATGCGAGGGGGGTACCAGGGAGTTGTTAAGGGGATGAGATGTTCTGATTTTGAAATTGAGTTTTTGGTACCGACAAGAATGATTTCTCAGACCAGTTCATTACATTTCAGTAGAACAATGAGTAAAGTCACTGAAGCTGCTGAGTAGATAAATTACAGGCTGTGTGAACCAGTAGGTGATTTCTGGTTGTGTTCATTTGTCGGTTGCACATTTGTGTTGTCAGCTGTTAAAGTCATAATGAAACATCTCTCTGACATGTTGTCTCTGACTGAAGGTGGTGCTTCCTCCCACCAGTAAACACTTTTCCTCCATTTAATAAGTGAACTCCTCCTTTGCTGTTCATGGTCACTTCCAGCCTGGTCATAGCCGGCTGACTGAAACGGAACGAGCCCTGCTATTCTCTGGCCAGTTTTACTATAGTTGTGCTTGTCGAGCTCTAGTTCTTGTCTAAGAGACAAAATGTTGGAGAATAGTTTTCTAGTGCTTTCACAGATTTCAGATGGATGCGAGTTTTCTGACTTAGTACAAAGGCTGATTATACATTGGACGTGATGTCTCCCTCTACTGCAATGATTTTGTAACGTGAAAACACACACACGTTTATTTATTTTTTTAATTTTTATTTTTTTACATGTCATGACCCTGATGAGGGGACGGTGGTGCTGTTAGGTGAGCGGAGGGACCACTTGGATAATGCTAGGGGAAATGTTGGCCATGGAAGATGTGAATCAGGCATCTACCAAATGATTCTCTTTATCCCTAGAGCTCAGATGTGAAGCTTTATTCCAGAATTTTTCCAACTACAGGTCCTTCATGTAAATACAAAGCTGCTCATTTTGTCTCAAGTTGTGCTTGAGGATAAGCAGCTTGTCAAGTGACTCTTCTAGCTATAGCCTGTGGCAACACTTAACTTGCAACCCCACTCGTGTCATTGTGTAGAGCTTGAAATGCAGCACCAGCCTGTTAAAAGAACGCAGTCATTGAAGCGAAGAGCTCATCGGACAATCGGTTAGGTCCTGTCGAGGATTTCTAAGATTTCAGTCACACTAACAAAAGTTCAGTTCAGTTTATTTATCTAGCACCAAGTCACAACAGAAGTTGTCTCCGGACACTGAACAGAAACATTCATTGCATTATAAAAGTAAAAGTTATTTATCTAAGGAAGCAGCAGATTGTGTGATAATTATTATTTTAAAATTCATTTGTTACTCTGCCAGTACACAGGCATATTTAATATTTCATATATTCCAGTATTTCACACTGGATCCCAGCTGCCCCTGTTCTCCAAGTACAAACTTGCGATTCCTCAGCTCCATAACCTTGCAGTCCCAAGTCGATCAAGATAAATAAAGTTTCTCCCCTTTTCTAGCAACTAAATCACTATAAAAACTCACTGACAACATAGATTTACGATCTATTTTGTAACATGCAGTCCAGATATAGATCAGTGAGGTCAGCACCGGTCACTAAGATGTACTCTTATAGCACTTTCTGTTTTAAAGAGAGTAAAGTTGGCCTGTGATTGTTTAACTTTCTTATGCAAGCTTTGTGGATGCTTCAACAGCTTCCTTCCTCCCTTGTGTTTCCTCTTCTCTCTCTCTCTCCATGTAACTGATTGATGCAAGTGCCATTGCTAACACTTGAACAACCATCTGACTCGGGGTTCATTCACATGTTGCGTTACTGGCTTGGAGCATATGTTCTCCAGATGTCTGGCAGCATAGCTAAGTCGCACTGTGGCAATGAAATCTTCTTAAAGAGACTAAAGTGGGCCATTTGTTACTCTGCCAGTACACAGAAGTATTTCAATGTTCAGTAATTGTTTGGGCTCAGGCTTTCTTTAAACAGCTGTCACTGGGTGAAAGATTGCTCCAGAAAATGTTAGCTGAAATCTGCCCACTTTTTAATATTGCTTGTATCAGAGACAGTAAAGCATTTTGAGATATTGTATTTTTTTCTCGAGTAAATAATCTGCTCAGGCATATGTTCTTTTCCTCTCAACATTATTTAGCCAATATATGTATATAAAAAAAATAGAATGCAAGGATTAAACAAACAAACCCCACTGCTGTTAATTATTGTCCGCCCGACTAATGATGCAGTTTTTCAATGAGTCTGCTGCTTCCTTAGATAGAGAACTTTACTAATAGGCTTTTGCATGTATGTGAATGTTTCTGTTCAGTGCCCTGAGACAACTTCTGTTGTGATTTGGCGCTGTATAAATAAACTGAATTGAATTGATTTTTTTTCTTATATCTTTCCAGTTTTATTACGATATTGAGTTAATTGGTCTTGTAATTAGACTTAAATATGGATCCCATTTGTGTTATTTGTGTTGTGGTTGGATAAAAATCTGGAGACCTCCTAGCACAATAGTTAGTAGCCTCCTAAACCAGCAGAGGTTAGGAGACTAAGCCCTCGTAAGGGCAATGTCACTCAGACTGTCAGAGTGAACAGGAGGGGGTTTAACACACTGCCCTGAGGGGAGCCAATGCTGAGGGTTATGGTGGAAGAAAAATACCAGTAGTTGTGGATCCTCACAGACTGCCGTCTGTTGGTTAAGAAATCCAGGACCCAGTTGCTTAGGGAGGGGCTTAGTCCTAGTGTGAGTAGTGTAATCCATCAGAGTCTGGGGAATCATTGTGTTGAAGGCAGATGTGAAGTCCAAAGGGGAACCCAACACAAAAAAAAAATTGAGAACTACTGCCTCCTATTTGACGTTGTTTGTCAGCAACCACTATAGTGTGACTGCTCAGTCCGTATTTTTTTATTCTCCTTCCTCCTTTAACCCATGTCCTTGATAAACAACGGTCTTTCTTGCTTACATGTCACTGGGCAGCAACTGTTGAAGACTAGTTGACCGCTCAAAACTGCAAGACAAAAGGTGAGATTTCTGTTGCAATCTCACAAATCTGAGTTTTTGCAACAAGTGACCAGCAAACCGTGTGGTTGGATTTTGCTTGATCAGTTTGTAAGAATCAGTCTGTTTTTATACACACAACTTGCAAAACTATTTTAGGCTTTGCATATTATTGTGTTGCCCACCATTGCCCAGGTTGTACTCACCTTGGCAGGACCATCCACATTTAACATACTGGAGTACACTTCAGTATCTCACAGCATACAAACATACTCAGACTCTGCTTTAAAGCAAATACACAATGCTTTAAATGTACTAACTAGAGGGCTATTAGGAATGCGTTTGTTTTTGCAAAAAGCTTTAAAAGACCAACTGTTTCTGATTCTCCTATAGAACTCTCTTCTGTGGCTTTTGTATTTCTAAAGTACACAGATTATCTTAAATAGAGCAATTTTTATTCGGATTGCTGTGGCTACAAGGTCGTTAGTGGAAAAAAGGGGAACTGGAGGACGTCCTCCAGTAACAGGGGCATCATCCTCCTTAGCCTCCCTTATATATTTTCAGAGGTGTTAGAGAAGAGAGTCTGATCCATGGTTGAACCTCAAATTCAGGTTGAACAATGCAGGTTCTGTCCCGGCCTTGGAACACTGGATCAATTCTTTACCCTCGCTATGGTTCTCGAGGTGGCATGGGAGTTTGCCTATCTTAGCTAGTCCTTAACCTTTATGGGTTTTGTAGACCTTGAGAAGGTATTCAACCACTTTCCTCAGGGTACACTGTGGGGGGTGCTCTGCGAGTATGAGATTGGGGGTCTTTTGTTACAGGCTATTCAGTCCCTGTACAAGTTGTGTAAGAGTTTGGTTCACATTGCCGGTAGTAAATTGGACTCCTTCAAGCTGAGAGTTGGACTCTGCCAAGGGTGCCTGTCATTAATTCTGTATAACTTCTATGGACAGAATTTCTGGGAGCAGCCAGGGGATGGAGAGAGTCCAGTTTGATGGCCTCATAATTTTTTCTCTGCAATTTGCAGATGATGTGGTCCTGTTGTAGTCATTGTGCCATGATCTTCGGTTCTCACATGAGCGGTTTGCAGTCGAGTATTAAGTGACTGAGATGATGATCAGCACTTTCAAATCTGAGACCATGTTTCTAAATGGTAAGTGGACTGTACTTATATAGCGCCTTTCTATCTTATTGAGACACTCAAAGCTCTTTACACTACAATCTGTGCCCTCATTTACCCATTCATACAGCACTCTACTAGATCTCTACAAAGCTAATTGAACAAATCATTCTAAAGAGACTAATCAGTGATTTATCACATTCATACACCGATGGGGCACACATCGGAGGCAACAAGGGGTTCAGTGTCTTGCCCAGGGACACTTCGGCATGTGACTGTTGTGGGGTTCAACCCCCCAACTCTTGCATTGGAGGACGACTGCTCTAACCACTCAGCCACAGCCGTTTCTCAGTCATAAAAGGGTGGACTGTCTTTCATAGTTGGTAAATGGTAAATAGAATGTACTTGTATAGCGCCTTTCTATTTAATAAACATACCAAAGTGCTTTACAGTACAATCTGTGCTCTCATTTACCCACCTACACACACGCACACATTCATACAGCACTCTAGTAGCTTTTTCCTAAACTAATCTAATCTGAAGAGACTAATCAGTGCTTTAGATCACATTCATACACTGATGGGACACACATCGGAGGCAACAAGGGGTTCAGTGTCTTGCCCAAGGACAATTCATCATGTTACTGTTGGTGAAATTGAATCCCCAACTCTCCCACTGGAGGACGACCACTCTAACCACTCAGCCACAGCTGCCTTAGATGGGAGTGAGATTCCATGGAAACTCTGTTTACTGGTCATTCTATTGGGGGAGTGGTAGCGCAGAGGTTAGAGAAGGTGGGCCTGTGATCGGAAGATCACCAGTTCCAGCCCCGGTACCAACAACATCAAAAATGTCGGTGGGGTAGGTGAAGCACCCACACCTGCCCCCACCCTCATTCGCCCCACTCTGGGCCCATGAGCAAGGCCCTTAACCCCCACCATCTGCTCCCTAAACAGGTCTCTCTTGAAAATGAGTTGTTGTGGCTCAATGAGACTACCTGTATAAATAAAGTGTAAATGAAAAAAAAAAAAATTCTACGTTCCTTACCTCAGCTATGGTCATTAACCCTGGGTAGTGACCAAAAGAACAAGATCGTGGTTACAGGCGGTCCAAATGAGTTTTCTCTGCAGGGTAGCTGGACTCTCCCTTAGAGACAGGGTGAGAAATGCAGTTATCCTGGAGAGACTTGGATTAGAGCTACTGCACCACCACACATTGAGAGGAGCCAGTTGAGGTGGTTCAGACACCTGGTAAAGCTGACCACTGAATACAGAGGTGTTCTGAGTATGCCAACTGGGAGGAGACCCTGGGGAAGGCCCAGGACACTCCGGAGCGACCGTGTCTCTTGGCTAGTCTGGGAATACCTTGGAGTACTCCCAGAAGAGCTGAAAGAGGTGACTGGAAAGAGATGTCTGGACCTCTTGGCTTAAGCTGCTGTGCCCGAAACCTGACTCCAGAACAAGATGATGGATGGACTGATGAATGAGTGGATGGATGAATAGATGGATGAACATTTTACCCCGCTCTCTGAAACAGAAAAAAACAGTGGTGTTTTTGCAAATGTTCTCAAGTCCTTAAAAGCACATTTGATGAAAATAAACCCATATTTTTACACACAGGATCAGGAATGTGTAGGTCTTCAAAACACAGAATGCAGGATGTGATTCAGAAAGCCCTGCGAGGAATCCCTGTTTGTTTATAACATGCTGAATGAAGCATACAGCAGCTAAGACTTTTTGTCAGACCATGTGTATATAAACTTATCTGCAACAATCAGATAAAATTGAAAAGTAACATACAGGTCAAGGAAAAAGGGTACGTTAAAACTTACCAAAAATGCAATCACTCACTTGATAATAAAGCTGTGGCTGAGTGGTTAGAGCAGTTGTCCTCCAATGCAAGAGTTGGGGGTTTGGTTCTACCAGCAGTCGCATGCTGAGATGTCTCTGGGCAAGACACTGAACTACTCATTGCCTCCGATGTGTGTCCCCTCGGTGTCTGAATGGGATCTAAATCTCTGATTATTCTTTGTAGACATCTAGTAGACTGCTGTATGAATGGGTAAATGAGGACACAGATAAAGCGTAAAGCACTTTGAGTATCTTGATAAGATAGAAAGGCGCTATACAAGTACAGTCCATTTACCATTTAATCTTCTGTACATTTTTCCCAGTGGCTGGCTGTAAAATGTCTGGATGCTGTGGACAGCTGTCTTGTAGACTGTATTTCATGTGTTTAAAGTCATTTGTATGATGTGTATAACGAATATCATTTTAGTCTGGCCCTATTAACTGGCCTCATTTAACAGAATCACACATGCTAATTATAATTAACCCATTTTTTTTGTCCTGGGTGCTTTTTTTCTATGCATATCATTTAGCCTCATGAGTTTGATGAGTGCCGGCTGGACATAAGTGTGAATGACAGCGTCTGGTACCTGAGAGCACAGGACCCAGAGCACAGAAACCAGTGGATTGACTCCATTGAGCTGCACAGGGTAAGTCACGCTGTATCACAGCAGTTTATGAACTGCTGGTCTCAATACTAACTCACATTCTTGTCACGCTCACAACAAATTATTGTTACCTCTTTCATAGGTAATTGGGGGAATGTGCATGTTTATTTTATGCATGTGTGTTTCTGTTAGAGTATCAAAAAGGAGAAGACAGAGAAGGGAGGAGTCCAGGGAACACTAATCATCCCTCTACCATTGGTGCGTTTGTTGGCAACTTTGTGGGACTGTAAAAGTTCTCTTGTAGTATGTTTGTGTGAATGTGATAAAATGTACCTGCATAGGTCAATTCTACAAACTGGATTCCAAAAAAGTTGGGACACTAAACAAATTGTGAATAAAACTGAATGCAATGATGTGGAAATGGCAAATGTCAATATTTTATTCTTAATATAACATAGATGACAGATCAAAAGTTTAATCTGAGTAAATGTAACATTTTAAAGGAAAAATATGTTGATTCAAAATTTCACAGTGTCAAATCCCAAAAAAGTTGGGACAAGTAGCAATAAGTGGCTGGAAAAAGGAAATTGAGCATATAACGAACAGCTGGAAGACCAATTAACCCTTATTAGGTCAATTGACAACATGATTGGGTATAAAAGAGCTTCTCAGAGTGTCAGTGTCTCTCAGAAGCCAAGATGGTAAGAGGATCACCAATTCCACCATTGTTGCACAGAAAGATAGTGCAGCAATACCAGAATGGTGTTACCCAGCATAAAATAGCAAAGACTTTTAAGTTATCATCATCAACCGTGCATAACATCATCAAAAGATTCAGAGAGTCTGGAACAATCGTTGTGCGTAAGGGTCAAGGCTGTAAAACTCTACTGGATGCTCGTGATCTCTGGGCCCTTAAACGTCACTGCACCTCAAACAGGATTGCCACTGTCAAGGAAATAACAGAATGGGCTCAGGAATACTTCCAGAAAGCATTGTCAGTGAACCCAATCCACCGTGCCATCCGCCGTTGCCAGCTGAAACTCTACAGTGCAAAGAGGAAGCCATTTCTAAGCAAGCTCAGACGTTTGCACTGGGCCAGGGGTCATTTAAAATGGAGTGTGGCAAAATGGAAGACTGTTCTGTGGTCAGATGAGTCACGATTTGAAGTTCTTTATGGAACACTGGGACGCCATGTCATCCAGACCAGAGAGGACAAGGATAGCCCAAGTTGTTATCAACGCTCCATTCAGAAACCTGCATCACTGATTGTATGGGGTTGCATGAGTGCTTGTGACATGGGCAGCTTGCATGTCTGGAAAGGCACCATTAATGCAGAGAACTATGTTCAGGTTCTAGAACAACATATGCTCCCATCTAGACGTCATCTTTTTCAGGGAAGACCCTGCATTTTTCAACACGATAATGCCAGACCACATTCTGCAGCAATCACAACATCATGGCTACGTAGGAGAAGGATCCAGGTATTGAAATGGCCAGCCTGCAGTCCAGATCTTTCACCTATAGAGAACATTTGGAGCATCTTAAAGAGGAAGGTGCAACAAAGAAGGCCCAAGACGATTGAACAGTTAGAGGCCTGTATTAGACATGAATGGGAGAGCATTCCTATTTCTAAACTTGAGAAACTGGTCTCCTCTGTCCCCAGATGTCTGTTGAGTGTTGTAAGAAGAAGGGGGGATGCCACACAGTGGTAGAAATGGACTTGTCCCAACTTTTTTGGGATTTGTTGATGCCATGAAATTTGGAAACAGCAGATTTTTCCCTTAAAATTGTACATTCTCTCAGTTTGAACTTTTGATCTGTGATTTGTGTTGTACTCTGAATAAAATATTAGATGTTGGCACCTCTACATCATTGCATTCAGTTTTTATTCACAATTTGTTTAGTGTCCCAACTTTTTTGGAATCTGGTTTGTACAACACAAGCAGGGCTTTTTAAATCTTAAAAGATTTAGTGTTGCAGATTGACTGGTGTGAGGTCATAACGTGTCCTGCAAGTGATGTTACCAGCCTGGACCAGAGTCTGAGGTC